AAAAAAATTGCTATCTAACATTTTTATACAGTAAAACGATCACAAAAACTCATACAATAGCATCACATAATTTCATATATATAAATACTTTTATAAAAATCTGTATTACTCGAAAGTACAACTTTTTTTCCCCAGAACAACTATAGCAGAAAATAAATTACTCGCGACGGAAAAGTTACCTTTTGCAAGATGCATTTGAAGGACTAAAGACAATTTAGTAATAAGCCACATTTCTTTCCTAGGGTTGACATATTTATGTCAAACAGTTCCGAAATATTGTTTACAGATAGGTACTGATTTTTCTTTTTTTTATATAACCGTCGTTGAACAGCTGATCCAATTGTTTAGGATTTACGGCTACTAATGTTCAACGCCGTATCCTTGTAATTTTGAACCCAGTCCAGAAGACAAGGGAACTCCTGGATCAAGTATTGGAAGAAATTTGCCTTCGCGGAGGACTTTTTTGATAGAACTAACCAGCATTCGCGTTACATGGAGAGGAAAACCACGAGAACCTCCCCCGGTTAGCCAGACGGCAAGGGGACTCTAACCCATGATCCGTCTACCACTGAGGATATTTCACGTCAGCACTGTGGTCGGTGCAAGCAGGATGCGGATTCGTATCGACCAGTCATCGGTGGGATTCGAACCCTGTTAACCTGGATACATAAATAGGGTAAAAATATCATAGAAACGTCTCATTCCTAACATTTACTCAAAAGCACTTTTATCGCCAATTTGAAAATGCGGCTTATCACTATATTACCCAAAATCCTTCATTTATGAAGTGAATCGTTCTGGATTGAAGAAATAACAAAGTGAAACCGAACCATGCACTCGAATTTCATTCAGATTTAGAATATTTAATGTAGTTGTCAACACCCTCGACGGTTACGATTTAAAAAATAGAATTTCACAGAAAAGAGTGCCACACAACTTTCAACACACAAAGTTACCCAGACATCTTAAGAATGAAAACAAAAATCAGCAAAAAGTGAAACAAAAAAATACCTTAACATAACTGTACAAAGAGTCAAGAGTAACATCACATTTTTTTAACTTACGTATTTTCATGAATGACTATAGTATTTTGACGTCCTAAAATTAGGACTCAGGAATATATATAGATATATATCAGCTTTCATGATTTTGCAATGTGAAGTCGAACATGACCCAGATATTGCACTTCGTAAAAGTGATAAATTTTTAACCGTGTTAGAAAGGTGCATTTACTATATTATACCCTTCTTATTTTCTTTTTAAGGTGATGTGATTATTTACATTTCATTTTGATATTCACTTTTTGATAAATATTCTTTCACGAAAGACATATGTTTTCTTCATAAACTAAAAATTTTAAATGTACAAAAATATATTAACAAATTATTTACACGAATCATATCAAATGTTTTTAGTTTCAACACTGGAGATCAAGAAAAAAGAAAACGGGGAAAGCAACAGAACAGATACTTTGACAAATTAATAACAGAATAAAATTCATTTGATTTGGCGATTCAATGATGATAATAATGAGGCTAGTTTTGATTAGAATGCGCTTTTTCTGTACACATTTATTTTTCCTTAATGAGTGTAATCAAGCAACAAATAAAAAAATATATAAATCTTCCGAAGTTATTTTGTCAAGAAAAATAAGATGAAAAAAAGAAGGAAAAAAAAAGGCTATAACTTGTATTTCATTTTGAAGGGAAGCTTTCTAAACTATGTAAAATATCTTACTATATATAACTGTTCGAACTTTCAGACAGAAAAATATTTTGAAAGTTTAAAAATTATTAAACTTTTTTTAAAAACTTGCATATTTGGCGAGATTTTTCTGCATATTTTCTGGATTCCAGATAATGACGCTTATTAGTAGCTTATCAAATTTTAGGATCAAAGGGGCTTTTATTTTTCACAAAACTGTAGTATACTATAATTTGGCTATTAACATAGAGGGCGCTGTTTAAAGATGTGCGAAAAAAGTTATTAGAGTTTATAGAACGAACAAATAGACGAAAAAATTAAAAATATTAATTAATTTTTTTCTTAAAGTCGTCGATGTTGCGTTATTTTTTCATCTAGATTGAAACTAATTAATCTTTCTCAATATTTACAAATTTTTTATGAGCACAAACTATGCAGCGTTAAAACAAAAATTGCAAAAAAAAAAAATAATAATAATAATTACGATTCCGAAAAATTGTTTCTTTTCTTCATATTGGCATTTTGCGCCATTTCACAATTAGCTTAGCTTGGTCACTAAAAAGCGCCATTTCATGTAAAGACAGTGGTGTTTACGAACAACCTTATCAATTTCGCTTGAATAACTGACGCTTGGAACCTTAAAAAGAATACATATTAAATATGTAAATAATTTTTTTTTTTAATTTTTGTCAGTAAAATGAATTGGAAAATTATAATTAGTAAGAAACGTATATATATAAAAGTTCCTTTAACACTTATCGTGAGTAAACCGTATTCAAAATTTAAAAATATTTAGCTAGTATAATTAATTCCGTTAATGATGTTCAAATATTTAACATCTTACTTTTATGTTAATTTTATTTATAGCTTGAATTTCATTTTTGAAAAAATGTAAACTTTAGTGTAGCGCCGATTTTTATAATTACAAAAAAAATAAATTATTAAATCAAACAAGATTGATATAGTAGTGTGATAAAAATGAAAAATTTTATTGGTAATCTGCATTTAAATGCAGATTAACAAAATAAATGCGGGATTAAACAAGATTATTTTAGTTTAATCCCGTTTCCGTAAGAAATCAATAATCCGTGTATTAAAAATTCTTAATTATTTACTTTTCCACAAATTGTCTAAGTTAAGTTTTTAAATTAAAAAAAAAACATACAAATTTTTAATTTAAGTATTAACTTTCAGTTCAACAAGTATCCTCAGAAAAAGCACATTAACAAATAAAAATATAGAAAATTTAAATGATCAAACAAATGAATCGACGAACTAAGGTTGTTTTGTAGTTTTATACAAAGAGACTTAAGAATTGTTTTCCCCATTTGATATAATATTAATATATAATAAACTGCCAGTCTATGTACAAAAGAATGCAAAAAAAAGTAGTCTATTTCGGAGACGAGTGATGATGGTGATGGTGGTGATTACTGTTGTTGTTGTTATTATTAGGTTTGACGTTTAAGTTTTTAATGACTAATTTCGGACTGTAGCCGTTGTGATCGGGGTCACCAGGATTCAACACCGTTAAGTTGCTACCCTTGAACTTGCTATTATAACTCTTGTAGGATTTCTTGTAGATGGGTGACTGACTTGACTTGTAAGAGGAAGTATTCGGTAAAGAGCTCGGCATGATGGACTTGGGGCTGAGTGGCTGACTTGGCTTGTAGGAGGGGGTGTTCGGTAAAGCACCAGGCATCATGGACTTTGGGCTGGGTGCGGTGGATGCCAGGGGTGACATTCTGGCGTTGGAAGGAGACGTCTTGGGGTAGGAAGCTTGGGTTGCAGGGGATGCTACGCCTAAAGCACCGTTCCGGCTGTTGGGGCTAGTTAAACTTTTGGTATGGTGAGAATCTAGCGAAGATTTTCGACTGTTGGATTGTTTAGAAGATGTTTTGCTGTGAATACTGGTAGAAGGTGGCGAAGATATTCCTTTATGGTGCGGTATAGTGACAGGAGTCCGATAAGGAAAAGCCATGGGATTAGGCACACAGGGAGGATACGGAATACCTAAAATAAGAACAATACATAACATTTAAACAACACTAAACGCATGGGATAGTCTAAAACAAAGAGAATGTAGAGAACTGTGGATAATGTAAAGAACTTTTTTCCCCATACCGAAATCAACCGTCAGAGAGAGAAAACCGACCATCCCATTTGACGGTTGATGGAAATGGGAGGGAGGGGAAAACATGCTTTTAATCATCTATATTTGATTTTCACAAATAAGCTGAAGTTGGATTTTTGCAATTCTTGGTAGTATTTTTTGAAAAAAATCACGCTGTATTTTAGATTTATTTCCTACTGGTTTTTTCTGACAAAATGCCGATACAATTATACAATCAACATTCTTGGTAAGGAAGTTCAAAGTTATAAATTTGTTTGTTTTGAGATTTATTTACAAATATAGTTTTGTGTAATTTACATTAAGGTAATTTTCATGCCGTTTTCAGATCGGTTTTCATCAGTTAAAACATTTAAAAAAAAAAGGGGGGGGAAATCACAACAATTTTTATAATTTCTTTAAGCGTACACTTTATTCGCACACACACTATTTGAAATAAACAGTTAGTATGTTATATGTGATAACCATTTGTTTATATTAGCTAAATTTTATATTATTTATAAAGTTTACAAACATATAACTAATTAAATGCCGAAAAAATACTTCAAATAAATTTGGGGAGTAAAATTTTCTGATTATTCCTGGATTAAAATAACCAAAATTACTGGGAAAATTTCAAATTAACAAACAGATTTTAACGTACGTATGAATAAGAAATTCTATTACAGTCCCTTGAAATCTTCCATTATCTCAAATTACGGATCACTGCATTTGAAGTGAGTTTACTGTATAATGCCTCATTTGGATCAATTTTGCACAACAAACATTGCATTGTTAGACTATCCGAGGTTTAATAGTATACTGTTAGAGAAAATGTTTGCGATTATTTTCATTAATAGTAAAAGTGAAACTTACCAGGCATTATTTGAGAAGAGCCTGGCGAAACTGGTAGCAATGAGAGAGCCGAATGAGATATAGGCACTGGGGAGCTGGCTGTACGACTTGCATTATAGGTAGGCGTCGATCGTCCCGTTGTAACAGAGGTCGTGGAAACAGTTCTATTCTGACTAGAAAAGAAAGAGGGTGGACCGAGGAACGTTGAAACAGGTATGTGAGGAGGTTTCCCATGTAATTGTGAAGGAACAAGAGGTGTGCGAGAAGTCAATCCCTGCATCAATATAGAGGAAGTGGGAGGTTTGGGCGGCGGAGGACAAGCTGTATGCTGTTTACTGGCAGCGCCCAAATAGGAAGGCTGCTTGTGTTTAGTGTCCAATACTGGATTCGCCACAGGTTTTGGACGGGCACCAGCAACCTCGCCTGCTTTCCTGACACAACTAGTAGACAAATCGAGAGCACCAATGTTGTCTTTCTTTTCGTGATTTCGATATAAATTGTTAATGACGTGATTAATATTGTTAGATTTAGCACTTCTATTACTGTTTTCCGTTGTTGTCGATGAGCTGTTAACAGGTAAAGTAAAACTGGGCAATATGGAGTTTGTAGAGGTGGTTGTTGCGGTCGCCGGTTTCCGATCAGGCTCTGATAACGATGTAGGCGTGGGAGAACCGATATCGTCATCGCAGCTAGATCGAGCTTGATTACTCATATCACTAGCTCGACCACTGTCAGCTTCAGTGTCATCCGCGTCATCCTCTTTTTCGGCTATTGCGGTGATCTTTTCGCGCAGGGCTACATCGCTCTCATCCTCATTGTCCGAGCTGTCCATTTTATGCTCATCCACAACCAGGTCAGCCTGGCACCCTAAATCATCGTTATCACTGAAATCTGCAGATAGGGAGCTCTTTTCTTTTTTATCAAATGTTTCGGGTGTTTTAGTACTGAGTGGAAAGCTTTCGCAACTTCCATTTGTTAGAGGGGTATGAGGAGACGAGTTTTTAGCATTTTCTGAAGGTTTGATCGTAGAGGCTTTATCATTTTCTAAACTATTTATATTATCATTGTTTGCTGTTTCTTTCTTATCGCTGGATTTATCACAAGTAAGAAGCATTTTAAGCGAAGATTTTTCTGATGTATCGGAAGTCTTATCATCAACTTCAGCCGCGGAAGGTGGCGTGGAATTCGGAGATGGGGATTTAGAAGAGTTTCGTGGCACACTTAATCCATTTTTCGAACTTTCCCGCATGGAAGCACTTGAATCAGATAATACTGATATCACAGGTATAGAAGGAGCAGAAGAACTTAGCACAGTATTCGGTAAAGAATTCATCTGTGCTTTAATACTGTTACACTCAACTTGATCTATTATTCCAGTTGAAATAGACGAAGAAACGGGCACACTGTAAGAACCATTTGTTATAGATACATGAGGGATAGGAGGTTTCACATTTGCGGATGTCACTTCAATAGTTGGCAAGTTGTTTACATTAGGTAAAATATTCACAGGACTACGCACTGCAGCTGGAATTGCAATCACATGTGAACTAGGCAAAGTACTTATAAAACTTGAATTGGGAACTGATGTGGTCAACTTTGTATCGGTTGATGATGTAGTGAAATTCTTCTGAGGAAAATTAGTAGAGGGTGAAAAGCTATTAGAAAATGTAGTCACATTACAAGTTACGACATTGCATGTTGTAACTTGACCTAAGAATTGAGTAGAGGGTTGTAGATTTGCATTGGGTGAGGAACTACAAAGAGAATTAGCAGTTGTAGACACTAATGCAGTGACTAAGGAAGGGGCAAGACTAGGCATAACATTCGGAACAAGTTTTCCAACAGTTAATTGAGATAGTGGAGTAGCTGTTAAACAAGTGGGCGGGGCAGTGGCGGGTGGTGGATATGGAGCTAGCCGAGCTAAGCGTGGTGCAGGCTTGTTTCGAGCTTCTCTTTTTAACTTTTTAGCATTCACTGTTTTCCAGAGAGGTTTCGGTTTTGGTCCTGCAACAAATTTCATCTTCAAGCTGTTAGCGGAAGTTATAACAGTATGTTGTGGAGTTGTAAGAATCTGAATACTTTGTGGAAGCAGTTCAACTTTGGAAGTCACAGGTAAGTTTTCTGGACTAGTGTTATTTACATTTTGTACAGGAGTATCAGATTCTACAACTTCCATTTTTTGAACGGCTGATGTGGAACACAAGCTGGTTGATACCTCGTACGATTTCACCTCTACACCACCAATTTCATTGCAAGGAGTATTAGATTCTGTGCTCGGTGATTCGTCAACTTCCATTTTCATACTGTCTTCTGATACTTTGATGCTAGTATCTGTTTCTTCGGACACTGGAACAACATTCGGAACTGGAACAGTGGTAAGCTCGTCTTTAATTTCAGGGAGAACTTTCAAAACTTCATAATTTGTTCTTGGAGAACTCGTCATTATAGAATAAAAAAATTTCATAGGGCCAGCCTGGAGGGTGAAAAAAAGGAAGAAAATCAATATTAGGTAATGAAGATAATATTAACAAAAAATACAGTATAATGACTATTTAAGCTGAAATTAATACTTAAATGATAATAGCTTAAACTTATAAATATTCATCTAGGCTTAATCAGTAATAAACGGAAAATAGCAATTTTAGTGATCATTAGTATTTAAAAGGGAAGATAACATTCCAGAAACAATTTCGTTACATACCCTTCTCCATGTATGAATGTACGCAATATCCATCAATGTATATTCATCTATTAAAAGGTTATCACCATAAAAAATTTCAATCTGAAAAAAAAGGAAAAAATTGAAACCAGTTATTCAAAGGCAATTAAAAATAATAATAAATAAACAATAAAAATATGTATACTATATTAATTAAATAATTTTTCAATTAGTAAAATAAAATTTTAACCCTCCCCCGCATTTTTTTTTTTTTTTTTGTTGTTGCTTAGGCAGATGTTGACTTTGCAGAAATTAATTCATTTGATTTTTTAAAAACTTGTTATTAAGATGATTAAAAACAAGTAATATTTAAAAAAAAAAAAAAAAAAAAAAAAACTTTCAAGTCAGTTCCTACTTAGGTGTCAATAAAGAAATATTTTATTTTAGTTACTTTTTATTATATAGTAACAATTATTTTTCTCCCATATAAAACTAAAATTAATTAATTAATGTTTGAAAAAACAGTATTAACTTCAAATGTCAAATCACTACAAGTTTAAAACAAATGTATTTGAACTTGAATGCACGAATAAAAAGTATTTTATTAGCGATTGAAAATTGAACAAGATATATAAATATATATAGGAAGAGTGTAAACTAATAGTAGAAATTGGAAAAGAGTTGAGATATTCCGAGCATTGAAATATTTTTCAAATATTTAATATTTTAAATATTCGCTTAGTTAGGGGAGGAAAAAAGTGCTGTTGAGCTACAAAACAAGTCTTAGCTGTTACGCACTTCGCGTACATCGATTTTATCAACAATATTCTACGTTGTTGGGTTGAGAAATATCACTTGGCTATGTATGTAGTAGTAAAAATTATTACAATTTTTTCGACAACAATATGTGATATTTAGTAGTGAAATCTGACTCGTCTTTAATTATTATTTACAATTCTTAAAAATGCAAAAATCAAAAATAATAATTAAGGTGAAAAAAGCTAGATGTTAATAGTTAATTGTCATCATTCATAATAAAGCACACACATATAAAAGAAAAATATTTATTGATCAATTAAACTCGGCAGTTACAACATTTTATGTTGTTTGATTATGTAACTTCGCTCAGCTCTATTTGTTATTGTAGTTTTTTTTATTACAAAAACGGGGGAAAAAACGCTAAATAGTAAGAGGGAAAAAAACGTTAAATGAATAGTAAGATTCATTTAACTGTTAAAAAAAAACACTAAATACAGATTCCAAGAATTATGTAACCTCACTCAGCTTTTAAAACATTTTACGTTAGTAATTGCTGTTACCAAATTTTAAAAAAGATGAAAATGAAGAAAGTTAAAATTCTTAAAAACCATTTTATTCTTGTTATAGGGCATTAAAAATAAACATATAATAAAAACTTGTTACAGAAATGATAGAAAGTAAGAATCTTTTCAAAAAATGAACACTCCCTTATTAGGCCAGGTTTGTGAGAAAAGTTGCACACAAGAGAGAGAGGCAGATGAAAGTCGTTAGTGAATGGAGTTAGCCACCCGTGAAGATACCTAGGGGAGCCCCTTTTAACAACACAAGGGAAGGAAGTGTCAGTACTCTCACTCATTCCGATCACGAAATCTCGGGGGCCTTCCAGACGATATTGGTGGCCCACATTCCGCCCATAGAATCAAACAAGCCTTTCAAAGGATTAATGGGAGATACTTATTCCATTCTAACTCTCTGTATTGCAGTGATAAAATATTATGAAATTCTTTATAACGTAAAATATTATTTATTGCAGCGTATATTGATTTCGTAATTCGTGCATATATCTATGAGTATTTAAGCACCCCTCTTTCTTTTAATTTTTAAAACAGTATTAAATTCACGGTTGTAAAATTATAATCACAGAATAGCAAATCAGATGTAGTGCAATATGTTATGAATTACTTTTCAGGCCGCTAATTAAAAAAATCATCATATCAGTTATAAACACATGTTTAGAGCCCTAAAAGAAATGGAAATAAACTAGTCTGAAGGAATCGTGGTGGCTCAGGGGATAGAGCATTCGCCTTCCAATGAGATTTCTGCACATAAAATTTTCCATTTTGCGATTTTTTTTTTCTTTTTATTAAACTTATCTTTGTGGTATAAATCAATATTGAGTTCTATAAAAATAAAAAATTTCAGCAAGAAAAAAAACCTTGATTTAAAAAAAAATTCGTCAAAATGAGTTGGCGACGTGTAGCCAAATGAGTTTGCCAAAATTTTGCGTTCCCATAATGTTTTTCATTATATCTAAGTATGCGTATAGGCTCGTTAGAAATTCTGAACTTCTTATCTTTTGCGAGTAGAGAGATTACGTTGACACTTGGGTTATGAGCTATTGCAGAAAATTGGGTGTTTAAAAGAAAAGAAATAAAAATAATTAAGAAATCTTTATTGCTGAAATATCATACCGTATAGGCTCGATTTAGAATTTGTAACTTTTGCGAATAGAGAAAGAGAGAGATTACGTTGACAGTCGAGCTATCGATCTGAAATTCAGTTATTGCATAAAATTAGGTATTTAAAAGAAGAGAAATAAAAATAATTAAGAAATCTTTATTGATGAAATATCATATCGCATAAGCTCTATTTAGAGTTCCGATTTTGCAACTTTTGCGAATAGAGAAAGAGAGAGATTACGTTGACACTCGGGCTATCGATCTGAAATTTAGTTATTGCAGGAAATTAGGTATTTGAAAGATAAGAAATAAAAATAATTAAGAAATCATCTTTATTGATGAAATATCATATCGTATCTGTTTGGAGTTCTGAATTTGTAACTTTTGCGAATAGAGAAAGAGAGAGATTACGTTGACACTCGGGCTATCGATCTGAAATTAAGTCATTACAGAAAATGAGGTATTTACAATAAAATAAATGAAGACAGTTTAGAAATCATTATTGCTGGAATAATCAATCTCATAGGTTCTATTTCGAGTTTTGAATTTTTAACTTCTGCGAATAGAGAAAGAGAGAGATTATGCTGACACTATCGATCTGGTATTTTCTACTATATCTATTCTGGGAAAAACAGCTCGCCATTTGGAAGTTGACTTGAATGGAGCTCACACGTCTGCCAAGTTACTTTTCAGATTCCGGCTCAATGTACCAATTACCTCTTTTACTCACGCACTTGTATGTGTGGGGGGAGAGTGCACAAAAAGGAGTGACAACAGTTTCCCTCTTCTGAATTATTTTTCCTTCGATAAATCATGGGTGAGAAGCAAACGAAGCAGAGAACAGTTCGTCACCATAGCAACCCGAAACTCGATTCGAGCTGCTTACTTCCTTTTTTTTTTCTTCTTCTCTCCCCCATCTCGCCAGGCTTTCTTTACTCATCCTCTCTCTCCCCCTCCTGCACCCCGATCTTCTCTATTTCGATATTTCAGACGATTTTTTTCTTCTCTTTCTGCGAGCTGTTTTATAGCGCTCTAGAATCTTCAATACCTTCCGCCATTATAAAAGTGCATATAAGTTTTTAACATTTAGTTTTATGAAAACGGAATATTTTTGTTGACTTAAAAGTTTCCTGTCTTTTCCAATTTTGTGTTAAAATTATTGTTTTTAGTTTTCTTGCCGCTTCTGCTTGTCACGAAATGTTTGTTCGATGGAAAGAGCATCCTCTTAGTTAGCATAATACTTTTGGCAGGAGGTAATAAATAAACTTTTAAAATAAAAGACGAAGAGATGGGCGTAGAAAAAATTATAAATAATAAATTAGGATATTTAGTAAAAATGTCAACATATTTTTTTTCTCAACAAACTAAAAAAAATTGAATGCAAAAGTTTATTCTGTTTCAAAATTGTAATTATATTGCTATTAAAAATTGGAAGAAAAAAAAAATTTTTTTTTTAAACATTTAATAATTTTTTTATGACGAAAATTTTAAATCAATCGAACTACCTATAATATTGAAATATCAATCCAAAATCTTATTTTTATAATTATATTTTTTAAATTTTTGATTAAAAAATTTCAGCAATGTTTTTTTTTTTTTTTTTTTTTTAAATTTAAAAAAAAAAATGTTATTGAAAGATATATATAATTGGACTGTTATAAGTTATAAGTTCTATTNAAAAAAAAAAAAAAAAAAAAGAAAACTATAATGAAAATATAAGGGTCAAGTGTAATTTTTATATTTAAAATTAATGAAGTTAATGCACAATCATATTCTACTTAAAAATATATAAGAATATTTATATTGCTAAGCTTAAATATTATTTATTTCAAGAAACTTAAATACAAAGTTCTTAAAAACAGTCGTATGATTACTATAGCTCAAAAATAATCGATATTTAATATCTTATTTGAAATATATTTTCAATTAGTTAACAAAAATTATTTTATTTCATTATTTTTCATATAAATTCAGTTAAATGCAGTTCTTTTTAAATAAAATAATTTACGATGATTGAAATATTGAAAAAAAAAAAAAAAAAAATNAAAAAAAAATAAAAAAAAAAAAAAAAAAAAAAAACTTCAGATTGCAAATAAATAAATAAAATAAAAGGGAAAAGAAGGGGCAGAAAGTAAAATACATTACAATAGTAACCGAGAGGGGAAGTTAATGGAAATCTCACCGAATATGAGGATGAGACGCCAAATTTTTGACGAATAAATTTCTTCAAATTTGCGACACTCAAAGCAGCTGGACAATTCAGGTATCTGGTCATGGGATCCTGTAAAGAAACGATTTAATTAGCGTCAACGTGTCATTATTTTATTATCGAATGAGCCAAGAAAAAATTAAAACGCACCTTTTTATTCGATCCCTCCTTATCGTTTTCCACCGCATCTTTGGAACTGGAACAGAAATGCAATGTTATTTCTAATATTTCTCATACAACTAAAATGAACACTGAATCCTTAATAATGCACTATACTTCGTAAATATGAAGACATATATCCTTATAAATATTCCCTTTTTTTATAAAAAAAATAATAAAAATAATATTGTTATTTATTGTATTCTTTTTAATGTTGTTAATGAGGGGAAAAAACATGGTTTTTACAAAATATGTTGCAAATGTCGATGTTTATGAGAGCAGGAAATGGCACAAATTGGGGATATTTCCGTATCGCCATCTGTCGCGCCAACTACAATCGCCAATGTGTCAAATAAATTTTAAACTTGCAATTTAAATAAATAAATAAATAATAAAAAAAACTCGTCGATGTTTACCAGGGGGTGGCTACGCGTTATATCCTTCAAGTTGGTTCTTTTCTGTGATGTTTATTCTTTTTCTCAAGGGGTTTCTCTTTAGTTTCGCTTTTTGTTTTACATAAAGTAACACCTTTCATTTGAATTTAATCCTAAAATTTCTCATATTACTTTGCTTCGATAAAAATTAAAGTTAAAGCAAACCAACAGGTGTTGAGTGTTGCGATTTTCTTAAAGAAGCATAGCATGAAAGAGAAGAGATAGCAATTCATTCATTTATGCTGACAAGGAAGTGAGAAGGTGGAAGGTTGCCAAAAACATACTTACGTAGTTTTTAAACTGCCTCAAATGTGCAATTTTAATAAGGTGCTTGCTAAATTGAACCGAAAACACCGTACTTTGGATGAATTTAACAATTTTACATTGTGTGTTTCTGTATTGTATTTTACTAGCTCAAGATGTCGATATTATGGTTATAAGATACACAGCTAGAAATTGCTCAATTTTAAAATAACAATTTATTCAATTGTTATTTCACCATATACAAACAAAGCAGCCAAATAACCATAAATAAGATGGTATTCAAACTGTTAACTGCGAGAAAAACCATTTATTAACTGCTTTCTCTTAATACGGTTAAACAGCCTGAATTTTATCGCACCAACTAGGCCCAGCTATAGAAGCCGCTTTGTCCCTCGCAGCTGGGTACATATTACAGCCGAAAGAGCCAATCTATCAATCCCAAAACGGGGGTTCGAGTCCTAGCGTTGACACCACAATATTTCCTCCATTCCCTTCAACACATGAAGAGTTTCCAGCGTCCTGCACTCCCCAATTTGTGCCCTGTACTTTCCAATGTCCATTGCCTAACGAAAAACCCATCTCCTATACATAGTTAGATTTCTTTTTGACAGTTTTGAAACCATGCTAGTTCTAAATGGTTAAAAAACCGTAAAATTATAAAATATTCTTTACCGTAAACATTAAGGTTATTTTACTGTTATTTTAGAATGAAAATTCTGGCAGTGCGAACCCATGCTTCTGAGATTGAAGGAGCAAATTGGGTGCAGACTGCAGAGATTAAAATTTGAGGGAGGGGGCATTATTTTAAATTGACAATTTAAGAAATTCGTGAAGATCAATATTTTGCGTAGCGTGAGTCTTAATAAATTAATTTGAATTATTTATTTATGTTCCCGTCGATTGTATTACGCACGTCCGTTGCTATGCAACCAAGATGAAAAATACTTCAGTTTTCAATAAAATACAGTCAAAGCTCTTTAAGACGCCCCTCTATTATAGTATTTCTTTCCTTTATAACGACCGATGCATGGAAGTCTCCTTTGCTATTCCATAGACGCATGATTATTTTATTGCCCATTAGACCACCCGCACTAAACCGTTCATTCCAATAGAGCGACCGAGATTTAGTGTAGTCGCTTGATTTCTTTCTATAGAACAAAAATAAATTCCTCAATAATACTTTTTTTTTATTTGAAAATTTTATTCCCTCATTTTGTTAAATGCCTGTCCCCTTGTTATTTTTGAGTTAAAACATATTGTTTACACAGTTATCTTGACGTTAAGTTATTAATAGAAAATGGCAGTCATTTAAGGTATTTTCATGCATTTAAGATTAGAACGACTCCACATTATAACGTCGGTTTTGTTGATAACGTCGCTATATCAAACGTCGACTGTACCATTAAAAAGTATGAAAGTGAACTACTAATACACTTTTTCAAAAAAAATGAATGATCGGCATTTTGGAATATACAAAAAGGTTGTGTGCCCTAGAGTAATCGGACTATCTGCATCAACTCGTACGAAACGAAACCGATAAGAAGGGACCGACTGGAACATCAATGAACTTAGATAACAACAAATTGCCATCAGAAGAAACATACTCTGCACCAATTTTCCTCTACCTGAAAACGGGTTCTTTTTGAAGAACCGGCTTCACATTCATTCCAGTCTCGGGCTATCGACCAACCGCAACCAGAGAGTGGGGGATGACGTCACGAAACGACCTCCTGACCCTCACGTGGGCCATCGACTCGTGGAGGCGGATCCCCGACTATTGTTCTGCAATTCAATCCAGTCCAAGAGAGTGGGGAGGAGCCACCAACTGGCCGATCGGAGAGCAACTCAGATGGAACACCCCTTTTTTTAACGCACCTTTCATCGTGGTAGGTCGACCAGAAACTCCCCCCAACACCAATTAAAGCACCATTTTCAAATGGGACAACAAGAAATAATAATAATAATAAAGGTTAACCACTCATCATGCCCTATAAGGAATGGCTACGGACGAAGTGTTTTGGGGGCACTCACGAAGTAGACCAGCTACAATCAAGCAACTGGAATGTAACATTGTTGCTTGTTCGATGTAAGAAGGTAGCCAAAAATCGACACCTTTTCACATCCAAATTTTTATCACTGGTAATGCCAATAATAAAATACAATTACTCAGCTACTACGTATATTATTTTTTTGGTAACAATATTTGCACAATATGTACTGACAATAAATCTGAAAGTGGTACCATTTAGGAAACCGGTTGCCTAATTCGTACCACCTGCTTCCTAAATCGCACCACCCTCAAAATATTGAGCGTTTATGATTAAGTGAATAAGTAGACAATGTGTAAATTGTTCAATAGCATAAATATTACAATTTTGAACTGTAACAAGTATAGTAGGTATAAGCTAATGTTTATGGAACACGTGCTACAAAGAGCAAGCGTGACTTCAACATAAAAGGCTCGGGGTCAGATCGGTCAATCAAATCACTTTACTAGAGAACTAACCAAAAGGCTCATTGCTTTCTATTAAATAAAGTAAATATATTTCATCATGAGTAAATTAAATCTACTGATTCAGTTCCGTTTTCAAGGTTTTCTGTTATTCAAAAAACAGTTTAATTAAAGAAAATACCACCCCCTCTTCACTTGTTGCTTCTTTATTATAAACCTCGCTCACGAGATGAAAAATTTGGTATTAGGTGAAAATTTGTCCAATAACAGTTCTCAGCCACTTTCCGAAAGTGTGGGGTTAGTAAAGTTAAAATGACTTAAAAATCGACCTGTAAGTTGATATATTGTTCTTAAACCGTACTGGTACAATAACACATTGTATACGTAACGTGTTAAACAAAGTGTTATTCTAAGCGCAAGAATACAGATTTCTCGAACTCAAGAATACAGAAACATAATTCTTCTGCATGGATCTCCAAGTGAACAAAATTATCCGCTATAGAACGTTCTGCATGCAATGAATGCTTCCTTAGAAATCAAAGATGTTACGAATTAGGCAACTTTCTTCTACATTTTTACATTCCACACCGTACCACATACACCAAAAGAACTTAAATTTCTATAATCGTCAGGATAATTTTTGTCAATTGACTCTAAAAGAAACTTCTAAATGGAATGTTAGAATCCCTGATATATTATCCAACATTTTGTATGATTTAAAAATGTATTAGGACTACATTTGCAATAATATGGATTTAGAAATCATTCGAATAACACTGTGATGTTACTAATATAAGTTTTAGATTAGAGAGTGGTACCAACGTGCAATCATTAAAAATTGCAATAGAGAGCAGTCAACAGTTTCTCTACGATTTCAATAACTACTAAAATGGGCTCATTTTTCCATTTTTTAATTTACCTTTTATGTCATTGAAAATTGAAATTTTTTTTTATATGCCCAACATTAAAAAGTGGACGTTTTTTTAAAGGAAATAATATGCATGACATGAATTTACCTGTGCATGTATTCCAGACTAAGACTGATGGTTTCTTGGGGAGAATAAAAGCACCTTTGTTCAGCCCCTTCACCTCGTTCTTCCGACGAACATTTGGCAGCTGAAATACAAGATGAAACACACATTTTGAATGTATAATTACACTCATTTAACGCTGTATATACAAATAATAATAATAATTTTTCTTCTTCTAAAATGCTCAGTATTTATTTTTATGGAATATTAAAATTTTCATTTTAGGGAAAGTGATATCAGTTTAAGGGGGGGGGGAACAAGATCCCTAACCAGTTTTAGAAGAGTGAATTCATTTTTTTTTTTAAACTTTGAAATAAACAATCTAAAGAAAGACTTTTTTAAGAATAACACTTATTTAATTTAATATAGTTTTAACTGCATGGCAGTGAAATTTTTATCAAAAAAAAAGTTGTAACAAATATGGTCAGAATTTATTATTATGAGCCTCAATTGAATCTCGATATATTTTTACCGTGAAGTTTACATTAATAATCATTTTCTAACATTATTGCAAGGTTATTTCAAGGTTTCGGAAGGAAAAAAAGAAAAAATTAAATTTTTTTTTCTTCTTTTTACAGAAAATACTAGATTTTCCTTTAATTCCTGGAATCCTTCAGAACTAAATATTTCTGATAACGCATGTTCAAGAATAATTTATCGCGAAATTAGTGACGTGTGTGGTTGAAAAATGAAGTGTACGCAAAAATAGAAGAAAGAAACTCCACTTTTAACGCTGTTTTTCGAAACTCTGTCGCCAAGGAAAATAAAAAAGCCATAGTTTAAGTAAAAAAAAAACCATAGTGCCTCCTTATACTTGAAGCAATGCGATGATTCTAAACTTGCTAAAATCTCATAATCTTGCTAAAAATCATGCTCTAATACTTATCCAAAATTGGGCCGGCAGTTCAACGACGGTTATAAAAGTATCAAATAAAACAAAATATAGACTGACTTGCGACAAAAACGCGTTTTGTTTTTGTAATCTGCTTGCGTGTGTTAGTAAAGATAGAGTTGCAGGGCTTGGACAAGAAAAAAAAAAACTTTTGATTTGGTGTTTATTGTCATTGTGTGTGTCCGAAAATATAAAGAATACTAGAAAAAGTGGTGGTAAAAAAAGAAGAGTCTTACCTGCTTCAGGATGGGCAGAGTAAAACTCTCTCCTCCTTTGCATTTCATCTAAACATGAACAAATATAAAAAATTAAAAATGTAAATACCATGACTGCTATAACAAAAAAAAAAACGTGGTATTATTAATAAATATTTTCAAATAGCAGCAATGTATACAATGCTTAGAAATGAACAAAAGAAATGGAAAAAAATTATAATAAGATATTATAATCCCTTGAAAATTGCGCAACAGGTTATTTATCTAACCAGATTGTATGGAATTAAATCTGCCTATTTCGAAAAAGGAATTAATGTGCAAAGCGAGTCCTGGGCAAATCAAAATTGATAAATCAATTTTGCGATACATTTTATTTAATTTACACAATTTACATTTTAAGCACCATGTGTTCAAAGCAGAAAGTCTTCCGTTGGATGACGACAGTATTTAGAAACAGAAAAGGTTCAAATTTGCTCTAATCTAAGTTAAACCTTAAGTACAGAAATTTTAAAACTTATATTAAACTTTCAATTTTGATATTGAGTTCTGTTCACTTAATGACGTGCGATATTGATTGCCTATAGTTGCAAGTTTACAGTATATTAATTTCCTGAAATGGGTTAATAAATTCTTTTCACGTTGTAATACTCACTGAATTTTTTGTTTAAAAATTATAAATACTACAGAAATAAAATGCATTACTTACTTTGATAAAGACCGGGAACTAACTTATAAACTATATCTTGAAGTGTAACATCAGATCTAAAAAGGAAGAATGTAATAAATATAACTCTCTCCTTAACTAAGAACAAGACAGTAGGTTATATNCATTCTTTCAATATATATATATACGTACCTTATGCTTGATAGAGGTTTTGTTTTGTGCACTTGAACTTCGCAGACGGGACAGAACCGGCTGTTCTCCAAATAATGCACAATGCAAGTTCTGCAAACTGCAATAGAAAAAACACAGTCAGTTTGACATTTAAGAGACAATTTTTAAAAAAAAAAATCAAAATTTCATAAACAATGGCTTACAGGAATGGAGGCATTCAACAACGGTCGTAGCATCTATGAGATATCCATCACAAAGTACACAAATAAATTGTTTGTTGATATCCGTCACTTTCAGACGGGTAGGACGATGCATAATGTTTTCACCCTAAAATATATGCAGAAAATTAGAAAATGATAGTGCGTTAAAAGTTACAGCAGAATTTGCTTTTATTTTGAACTTTGATTCTTATTATCAGAGGAAAAAAAGAACTTCGAATTGGCGAAATTATTTCTTAATGTTAGTTCTATGCAATGTTAATGTCGTAGTTTCTGGTATTTGCTGTAGCTCATCATCGGGATTAAAGAAAAATTTTAAATTATAAATACCGAAAGGAACAACATAATTTATTCTTTTGAAAAAAAAAAAAATTTTTTTTAAATCAAAAAATTATAATTAGTCTTAAAAAATAAATTTGAAATCTTTTTGATTTGAAAAAAAAAAATTATTTTTTTTAAAATCGTCCTAAGGGCATTAAAACATTATTTTCCTTACAAAAAAAAATTTATTTAGAGGAAAAACAAGTTTGTCATTTCTTTTCTTCTTATGGGGTGGCTCTCACTTGCCCAATAAAATTTTTCTTTTCATTTAAACCAAATCAAAAAAAAAATTTTTTTTGTTTCTGAGGATTAACTTACATTGCATTTTAAGATTGAAATTAGTGTTGCGTGTAATTCTTTATGCAAAAATTTCAATCTCCGTAAAAACTATCGACTTAAAGTGGCATATTACCCATAAGAACAATTAAGTTTTTAAAAAACTTTCTTTGAGGAAATAAATTGCAATATTTTTACTTAATAAAAACAAGAAAAAAAGTAAGATTAATAACTTTAAATATTTGCGGAAAAATCCAGAATCCTAAAAATTGGTTATTAAAAAATTTATAAAATCTTGGAAAACACTCTATTAGAAGTCAGTTTGATGCAACATCAATAAGGAGTCGAATTAAATTAATATTTATCATGTCATATTTGAACTGTATTTTGGGTTAATACGCTACGAAATTTCCAACACTGAACATTATACCATTTAAAAATACCAACTGCTAATAAATATGATTTTATTATCAAATTATAAGTGCAATTAAAATTAGAAGTATAAGCTCAACCAGTTTTCGTGGGTATAACATTTCTTCGGCGTGTCACCATACACATCCTTGCAAATAATTCTCTGAAATCAAGCCCCTTTTTTATGCATTTAACTTTACTGCATGAATCAAACTAAAAAAATAAGCACCATAAGTTTTCTACAAATGGCTGGTCAATACGAACTCCGCAGCCGGCTCGCACCGACCGCAGTGCTGACATAAAATATCATCACAGGTAGACGTGGTATGGGTTAGAGTCCCCTTGCCGTCAGGCTAACTGTGGGACGTTTTCTTGGTTTTCCTCACCATCTAACGCAAATGCGGGTTAGTTCCATCAAAAAGTCTTGTACGAAGGCAAATTTCTCCCGATACTTGATCCAGGAGTTCCCTTATAATTTAAATTAGGTTCAAAATTACAACACTACGGAGTTGAACATCATTAGTCGTAAACCCAAAATTGGGTCATCTGTTCGACGACGGTTATTAAATCAAATAAAATAGCAATGTGTGCTATCTAAAATGAAATAGCCAAAACCAAGTTCAGGTACTTAGTTCAAAAGCGAAATAAAGAGGCTAAGTCAGAAAACTATAAGATTAACAAACATGTTTTTAAAAAAAAATAGCAAAAACTTTTTTTTTTGCAATTTCAAAACGAAATAGCATTTTATATATTGTTTCATCAAAAATATCAGGTATAAAAACTAAAGATACGCCAAAATAATGGATTGCTTGACATCTTTAGACCAATAAAACTACTGCTTCGATGAAAGGATGAACTAACGAAACAAAATCCCCTCGCAGTTAGAAAAGTTATAGGTTCGTTCACTCCCTACCCCCCTCCCAATCATAAATACAAAGGTAGCACGAGAGAAAGCAGACCCCATAATTAACTCTTAATGGTCGTCACGCGTCCTCCCTTTTATCCCTGTTGCCCCTGGTTACAGATAGCTCCAGAAGGAAAACGCATTGTTCTTTAGAGATTCTCTCTGGGATTCGATAATGAGACGGAGAAGCCCATTCCTCAATCAACGCTTTAGCACTCAAAAGATGAAGAGCGGAGGAAAAGAAAAGGGTGGTGAGAGCTTCATCGTTTATATTATCTGGCAAGTTCAATTAGCTGGTAGAAAGCAAAGATGCTTAAAAAAATTTCGATTAAAAAAATAAAACTTCAGTCAAAAATATTGAAAGCGGATTTCAAGCAACCAGCAAATTGTTGAACACTGTTAGATACCAAACAGAGTTCTCAAGGTTTAGGACAGAATGGACTAATCCACGGCTTAAACCGTCTTTGTCCAAATCTGTTTTAAACTGTCCAAAACCTATTCATCCAAATTATGTCATAATTAAAAAAAAAAAAAATATTGTGAAATATTAAATTTTTGAACAAGAAACAAAATGAAAACGAGTTTTGATTATATTGAGAAAGTTTATTTTTATGTAGGAATTTATTTTTAAAAATTTAATTTTAATATTGAATTATTTACTACAAATAGTATCGAAGTTAAGTTGGCCATTGAATTTTTTTTCAACCATATAATACTAACTCCAGGGGTCTGTCCAGACATTTTGTGAAAGGTCCGTTTCTCGTGAAATTGTGAAAAAATTACTCACATTCTTTCAACCAGGGTCCGCTTTTATGAATTTGTGCAAATAGGGTTCGTTATTGCAAAAAAAAATTTTTTCAAGTTGTTTTTAAATTGTATAGGCAAACAAGATTATGCTCAACACTGTACAATTGTAATTAAAAAAATTATACTGCTATACTGCTGAACGCAGAATATTAATTTCGAACGAATAATGGAAGAATCGTCTGCCGAAGACAAAACTTAATTCGTTTACATCCATCTTTCTTGTTTTCTGCCCTGGAAAGGGTTTATTCGATTAACAAAATAATAATGAAGATAAACAAATTTGTGAAGGGTCCGATTAAAAGAAAAATCATTTTGTGAAGGGTCCGTTTTTAAGTTAAAATATTTTGTGAAGGGTCCGTTTTTATGAAAAGATATTTTGTGAACGATCCGTTAACGGACCCAAATTTCTTCTAAACAGACCCCCGAACTCTATTAAGTTTCATTCCAGTTGCTTTACATGAATAACAAAACAGAATGCTAAAAACGGTTACACCTAATAACCCATTATCAATGAATTCGTCCTATTTATGATAGAAGTAGATAAAATTTCATGAATTCGGTTACCCTCATATTATTAGCTTAACTCAAACCCTATAAAAACCCTATTTGTTATTAGTATTTAGATTCAAAAAAATATTGTTAAACGAAATTAAATCAGTTCAGGACGAGACAGTGTTAACCATTATCACATCAAAAATATTTTGCCATAACTTATAAAGGACCCAAGAATAGATTTAATTTATGTGAGCTTAGACTAATCGCTTTGAAATGTAGAAGGTAGACTATTGTTCAATCTACTGGAACAGGGTGATATAACCACAAGGGCGATATATGAAACTGCATAATAAATTTAAATATCAAAGTAGAGTCACTATAGAGAGCACCGATTATCCACAAGGGATTACCCGCCAGTTCCGAGAAAAGATCGAAAATTATAGCAAGAAGCAAACACAAATAACTGATTTTTCTTCTGTTTTTGAAAAAAGTGTGACTGAACATTTATATGTATGGACACTTTTATGAAGTATGTGTGCGCTATTTCTTTTTTCTTTATCACTCACTGTTTCAAAAATTTAGACGTAGAACAAAGATTTCTGATGCAAGTTCAAAACATATACACATGTGTATATTTTAGAATTATTTTTCGTGTTTTCATCTTACTTTTTTAATTAATTTTTGTTTCAAATTTTTTTTAAAGTTCTTTTTTTTAAAAATTATTATCTATGACTTTTGCTATCTTTGTACCCTAGCCACTCAACATAATTCCACAAATAATCTGTGCTCTCCTGTCTGCAAATGCACCTGTTTCGCGTAATAAACATTCCACCAGGGTAAATGTACCCTTTCATATTCTATAGGAAGTGAGGTACAAAAACCTTGACCCTGAAAAAAAAACGAATGCTCCCACCCCAAGCAAAATTTGGGCTCACCCCTCAATAGGGGCCCATCCATTGAAATGATACTTCAACAGGAAGTGATGAGGAGAGAGAGAAGGAGCAGATGTTAGTTAATTCGGAGGGGAGGACCACAGTTGAATGACACCACTCCGCCTTCTGTAGAAGAAGAAGAAAAAAAATCTTCACAAGTCCATTTTTAAGAATGACACGCTTTAGATATTTTCCTTTTGTGCAAAACATAATAGGAGACATCGGTCATTCATGAAGAAGCACTGCAATGGAGCGATTTTTCAAGCTTTTAATGATGAATGAACTACAGTTCTTCACGTGTTCTTCATTCGTGAGTTTCTTCTCCTTTGAGAGGAGAGCTTAATCCTATAATATTAACTTGATTAATGAATAAAACCGTGCTATACATATATACACACACAGGGGTCTGTCCAGATATTTTGTGAAAGGTCCGTTTTTGTAAAATTGTGAAAATATTACTCGTAATTTGTGAATATAAAACAAACGTTAAGTCACATTTTTTCAAACCGGGTCCTGCTTTTGTGAATTTGTGCAAATAGGGTCCTGTTATTGCAAAAACTTTTTCAAGGATTTTTTAAATTGTAAAGACATACAAGATTATGCTCAACACTGTAAAATTATAATTAAAAAATAAACAGCAATTGCTGCTACTAAATTAGAGATGTAACATACAAATATTTGGTAAATTCTTGTTATGGCAGTCTTTCAAATAACATTTGTGGAATGAACGTTTTTTATTTTATACTCTGATCATAGCTCTTTTTTCACACTTTGTCTAAAGAGCATTTGTCATTCTATAGAATGCCAGCGTTTTATACATTGCCGGTGGTAATTCTATACTATATAGATTATTTCGAAAAGACCCCTCTTTATAAGTTTTTAGTAATTAAATATCAAAAATGATGACAGAGTCATTGTGGCTTAGGGGATAGAGCGTTCGCCTTCCAATGAGTTGAGCCGGAT